TGCTCAGTCTCCTGAGTTTCCCAGTATCCCTGCACACCTCCAGCCAGGCTTCCAGGTCTTGCAAGGTTTTCCCAAGATGGGAACTGCTTCCAATTCTCGTGCTCTTTGCTGAGCTGTGATTTCTTTGATTAACTCGAGGCTGTGTCTTTTGTTGTGTGCTTTTAGGCTAAAATATCTCCTTCATATTGGTGCAGGTTTGGAGCCCACACAAGTCAAGTTAAGCCCTTTTAATTAAAGCCTCCTCAGCTGCCATCAAACAAAGCTCCCCCAGATTTCACTGGGCTCTGGCTCGAAGCCTTAGCTCTGCTTGGCTTTTCCTTTGCAGATTTTCATAAATAACGAATGGCACGATGCTGTCAGCAAGAAAACCTTCCCCACCATCAATCCAGCCACGGGGGAAGTCATCTGCCAGGTGGCTGAGGGCGATAAGGTGAGTGTGGTTTGGGTGAGATGGGTTTGTTTTCTGTGTGAGCAGGTCCAGGGGGGTTGCAGAGGAAGGCACCACCTCCCCTCTCACCTGGGCAGCTCCACAAGGGCTCTGTATGCAAATACCTCATCAAATGCTGCTTGTGTTCTTCCTTGACTGCTGCTCTCAACAGAACCTGGATTTGCCCTTCCCAGCACCAAGCTGGGACTGGGAAGGGCAGAGAGGAACAGATGTAGTGTGCAGTGGAGCCAGAGTTGGGAGGTTTGGGAGCAGTCCTGGGCAGAGGTTGCTGGGATGGGCAGGGATGAAGGCGGACACCTCTGTGGTCCTGTGGGTGCTGTGCTGGCAGTGTGACACAGAGTCACAGTGAGAGAAGACATAGAAGGTCAGGATTCCCCTCACAGCCCCTTTCTGCTGCAGTGGAAGACCAATCCCAGCCCTAGGAAATTAAAAAATTAAAAAAAGAACTGGTGGGGAATAGTCACATAATCATCCCCTGCCTTATGCAAGGCCCTGCTAAGAGTTTGTGGCAGAGCTGAGATGGCGTTTCCCAGCAATTTTGGGTTCTTCCTACAGTCTGGAAACTTGTTTGAGTTCCCCAAGGGAGAGGTGAGTGAGGGAAACCCTTTGTTGTTTGTTCTCCGTGGCAGCCTGGCTTGTCCTGGCGAGACCATTCCAGCAAGCCAGGACAGAGAACCAACCAGAAACCAATTAGTGCCTGACAGGACAAAATGATGGATCAGAGATCTCTGATCGAGGAAAAACTCTAGACTGAATCCTGAAGAGTGTCAAAAGCACACTTCCAGAGCTTTTTCCCTACCTGGTTCTAGGATGCAAATATTAACTCAGCAGGTGACACTGCAGAAATAACTTAATGGTGTTTGCACTCCCCGTAGTTGAACTAACAGTGTGAGTGAGGGTGGAGGTGGTGGCTGCACAGCTGTTGCACTACAAATCCTCTTCCCTCTTCCCCATGGATACAGACTGGCTGGGAAAGCTGTGTGGGCTCCAGTGCAGTGTTTGTGCTGAGGCTGTGTTGCTGCAGTGCTGCCTGGGCTGGTGGTCCCAGGGCAAACCCAGGGGCTGTGGCCCATGTGCTGATGGTGTCTTGCAGTGGGGCAGCTGCCAAAGCTGCAGGCTCTTGTCCCCAAAAAGCCTGGCACAAGCAGCCACTCTGGCTAGGGGTTGTTTTCTCCTGGAGAGTGGATTTTGAGAGAGAGAGAGAGAGACAGTGGGCTGGTTATTCCTTTCTCATCCTCTTCCTGGCCTCCTCCACAGGCAGATGTGGACAAGGCAGTGAAGGCAGCCAAGGCAGCGTTCCAGCTGGGCTCTCCCTGGAGGAGGATGGATGCTTCCCAGCGGGGGAAGCTGCTGCACCGCCTCGCCGACCTGATTGAGCGGGACCGGGCCTACCTGGCGGTGAGTGTTGTGCTCCGTGACCCAGCTCTGCCCACAGGAGTTGGTGTCCATGGGGTGTCCCGGGGGCTTCACCCACAGCTCAGGCTGGGACAGGGCTGCAAAGGGTGGGGAGGTACTTTTGGGAAGCTGGAAGCAAAAGGCCAACATGCAGAACAGATTCAGACTGCAAATTACAAACTGAGTCAAACTGTACACTTGAGTTTCCCCCCTCACCTGTTGTTGTGTTTCACAGGCTCTGGAGACTCTGGACAATGGCAAACCCTACGCCATCTCCTACCTGGTGGATCTGGACATGGTGGTCAAGTGTCTCAGGTGGGTGTGAGGTGACAGCTACAGCTGGCCCGTGGCAGACAAACCTCTGCAGGGGCAGGACCAGGTCCCTCCCATTCAGGGGTTGTGGGGTCTGGAGCTGACTGGTGGTTTCATCTGGCCCATAGCAGAGTGTCAGACACCTTGGCTTTACCTTTTGCTGTAATTCATGTGGCTTTCCAAAGGTTTGTTAACTGTACATTTGTCTCATGTATAGGTCTCACACTAATGGTGGTGATCCGTTAACAGCACAGGAATGACAGAATTTATGTTGTGCAAAGTGCTGGCAGAAGTGGAAGACACAAATATTTGTGTTTACTGGCCACCCTTAACATCCCCTTTTTGGGAAATATTTGCACTGTGGTGTGTTTTAGGAAGTGACTGAAAATGAGAAGGAAGCAAATAGCTGGAGGAAGTTGCTCTTGTTTTCTGTTGACAGGACACTTGTTATTTTGTAATGACTGCTTGTTTTAAATTCAGTGACCAAAACATTATTGTCTCCAGATACTGTGCAGGCTGGTCAGATAAATTCCATGGGAAAACCATCCCCTTAGACGGAGACTTCTTCTGCTACACGAGACATGAGCCAGTGGGAGTTTGTGGACAGATAATCCCGGTAAGTAAAATGTAACAGCAGTTCCTGCAGCATTTCAAGAATTCAGTGTTACAAAGAAGTTACTATCTGTTGCTGCACCACTGCTTCCTCCCTGTGGTAAACAAAGCTCTGCTTGCACCAGCTGGGAGGGCTCTTCCTTCACTCTGGGAGTTGATTTCATGGGCTCTGAGTAACATTTACTTTGTATCTGCTGATTAAAAAAAATTTAAAAAAGGATTTAACCCCCTTTATAGCAGTTACCTAGCTCAGAACCACAATTAAGTTTAAACTACTACCTAGAATCAAACCCAAAATTCCATGTGATGAGACAATAGAGCTCGAGGGCAAAAATCAGCTTTCTGTGTGTGATGTTATTTCAGTAACAGGGTGGTTTGTCAACAATAAGCAGCAAACACATTTGTACAGTGAGCCATGGATAGTGTTACCTCTCTGTGGGAGCAGCCAGGGTCTGATTTTTGTGTGCTGTATTTGCATGTCCTTCATACTTGCATTGAGCAAGAGCTGCACATAAACACCTCCTTGGTCTGTATGTGCTGCCTGGTCATTATAAACAGGCTCTGTTTCAAAATGCCCCAAAAGAACATTTAACGGCTATGGTAAAAATTATTCCCCCAAAAAGCTGGGGTTTTACAGCTCACACTTTGGAATACAGTTTTCCTACAGTGCTTGAAAAGGAGGCAAAGATTGAAGAGCAGCTCTGGGAAGATCCAGGACTGCTTCCACAGGTGCTGATTTGAGTGAAGCTCACTGGGTACTTACTGAATAATCAGAACCTTTCCAGTTCGGACCAGCAAATCCCTCCTTGTTTTTCAGTGGAACTTCCCACTGTTGATGCAAGCCTGGAAACTGGGGCCTGCCCTGGCCACTGGGAACGTGGTGGTGATGAAGGTGGCAGAGCAAACCCCCCTGAGTGGCCTCTACGTGGCCAGTCTGATCAAAGAGGTGAGTGCCAAGGCCAGGCTTCCATCTCCTGCTGGAGTGGGGAGAGATCCACCCACACTGGGATGTGACAGGAACAGGGAGAGGCTGTCTGCTCTGCTGAGAGGCTGGACTGTCTTAGGTCTCTTAGCATTGATTTAGCAAAAGAAACCAACCCCTTTTGTCCTTATAAATGTGTATGCAGAGAATGTAGATGTTGATTAGGGAAGGACTCTTTGAGGTTCAGTTAAATAATGAACTCCAGGGTGATTAGAAAGTGAACATATATATATATATATATATATGTGTGTATATGTAGATCCAAACTGTGCTTGGGATGTGGGTGGGGAGAGGAGTTGTCCTGGTCATTGCAAACTGAGCATTAAAATCCCAAACCAATTTTAATTTCCCAAAGTGAAAGTGAAGTGGAAATGCTCTGTTCCTGGTGGGAGGCTGACTGAGGGTCACTAACAGAGGAGTGGAGGTGAAATCCTTGATTTGTAAGAGGAATAATGTTGCTGTATCCTGGGAATTGTCAGGCTGGATTCCCACCAGGAGTGGTGAACATCATCCCTGGCTATGGGCCCACAGCAGGGGCTGCCATCTCCTCCCACATGGACATTGATAAAGTGGCTTTCACTGGCTCCACAGAGGTAAGGGAGCACCTCAACCTTCCAGCCCTTGGGATGCAGGGAATATCTCACTGCTGGAACACTATTGCTGTATAAAACACTGGAGGTGTTTGCCTTTTCTGTTTAAAATACTGGAGGTGCTTTGCCTTTTACATCTCATTTTAAAAACCACAGCTGATTCCAGGGTGTGACATTTATTTTTGCATGACATAAGACTCTTTTATTCTTATTTTGTTCTTTAGAATATTTCCCATTGTTTCCCTTAAGCTGCTTCTTACTGGAGGTGAAACTGGGCAGCCTTACGGCCCTGACAATGAGGGGATTATTACTGAAGTGCTGACTGAGGTGTAAACCCAGTGCCCTGCCAGGCTTTGCTGATGGAGGAGTTAATTCCAGCCCTTGTTCTGCTCTCCTGCAGGTTGGGCACCTGATCCAGAAAGCTGCAGCAGAGAGTAACCTGAAGAGGGTGACCCTGGAGCTTGGAGGGAAGAGCCCCAATATCATCATGTCTGATGCAGACAGTGAGTCTCTCCTGTGTAAAGTTTGATCTGTGCCTTTTACCTTGACTTTCTGCAGGCAGATCTGGAGGGGAAAGGAGAGGAAACCTCTGCTGTCCAGCCCTGATACCCCTGGACTGGTCTCACCCAGAGTATCAGCACTGCTCCACTCCCACTTTTTCTTCCCAGTGCTGTGAAGTTCAGTTGTCAACAACCTGTCATTTCAGTATCTTCCCCTGGTCTTTGCTCCATTTTTGGTTTAATTTCTGTTTCTCTTGGAGCACACCACTCTTCCCTACACTTAAGAAGTCCTGGTTCCCTCTTCCCTTGCATACAGTCTCATTTTTGGTCTTGATGAACCAACAAATGTGCTTTTATATGGCAGCGAGGAAGGAAATTCTTCTGGATCTAAAAAAATTTGTCCTTAATACCTGATAAATTCAAATTAGGACTGTAATTTGCCTCAGATTAGGTATTTTTGTCTAGTATGGGGTGCCTTAATAGACCCTCATATGAATGAAATATGTATGTAACTTCTGCCACACCAAAGCATGGAAAACGCTGCCAACTGACAGGACGTTTTACCCCCATCAGTCTCTGTGATAATTGTTCTGAAGAAGTCACCTTCTGACTCTGGTTGGGTTTATTTGCTGATTTGTTTTCTCTCCTCTCCCCACTCTTAGTGGACTGGGCAGTGGATCAAGCCCACTTCGCCCTGTTCTTCAACCAAGGGCAGTGCTGCTGTGCCGGGTCCCGCACGTACGTCCAGGAGGACATTTACAATGAGTTTGTGGAGAGGAGTGTTGAGAAGGCCAAGGCCAGGGTGGTCGGAAACCCTTTCGACTTTAAAACTGAGCAGGGGCCTCAGGTAAGAGCAGGAAATGCCCTCAGCTGTTACCTCATGGAATAGTCCCAATCCTGAGCCATAGTGTGTCACTAGATTAGAATGGAATTATCCTTCAGTCTCTTGATTAACCTCCTTTGAACTGTCCCATGATCTCCTTGCTTGTGCAGGGGGGAAAGGTTAATCAACCATTCTGATGATTCCATAACCTCCACTTGACGCTGGCATTTACAAACGCTCCCTTTGAAGCTGGCTGGGCACTCTGCTGAGATTGGGAACTGCTGGAGCACAGCAGGTGGGAGCGGAATCTACTTTCCCCCCGGTGGAGGTGGAGCTGATGTATGTCCTCATGGCTCACAGGTGGATGAAGAGCAGTTCAAGAAGATCCTGGGTTACATCAGCACTGGGAAGCGTGAGGGAGCCAAACTGCTGTGTGGTGGCAACGCTGCTGCCGACAGGGGCTACTTCATCCAGCCCACGGTCTTTGGGAATGTGCAGGACAACATGACCATTGCCAGGGAGGAGGTGAGTCCTGCAGCACCTCCCTGGCCCTCACCTTCTCACTCGTGGTCACTTTGCCCCCTCTGATGCAAAAAAACCCACAGGTTTACAGGCACTGGGTGTTCATGAGCTGTGAAACTCTTCCTAGAATTATCTTCCCTCCCGATTACATCCTGGCGCCTGCAGAATAGGGGAAGTGATATTTGAATTTCATGTCCTGTGTGACTTCTTACACCCATACACAGCTCCCACATCACCCACGTGACCCCGAGTTTCTAAGCCTTTAATGTTGTTAAAGTATTTTTTCGTGTTTGTTTGGTTTGGTTTGGTTTTGTTTAAATGTTGAGATCAGGAACACGTGTTTCTAGTCAAATACAAGTATTGACACAAAGCAAATTGTTAGATTGGTAATGATTCATACTTTAGACTTGTCCAGAGGGAGATTGAATGTACCTGAGGCAACAAATGTGGAAGGAAAATAACCAGTATTTGTTATTTCCCTCCAAAGGTGCCTGATTTTCCTCATTTGCCATATGAAAAGTCTGGACCTGTAGGATAAAAAGCAGAATGTAGGTGCTGTGCACAGACCCAGAAAGCTTGAGGCTGCAGTCAGGAGGTGTCTGCTTATCTACCTCCACAGAGATTTCCACCTGCTCTGTTTGGATGTTGCAGATCTTTGGGCCGGTCATGCAGATCCTGAAGTTCAAAACCATCGAGGAGGTCATTGAGAGAGCAAATGATTCCAAGTATGGGCTGGCAGCCGCCGTGTTCACCAGGGACCTGGACAAGGCCAACTATGTGTCCCAGAGCCTGCGGGCTGGCACAGTCTGGTGAGCTCCCTCTGCCTCCTCCCAGAGCTGCTGGGAGCTTCCCTGTGTGCTGCCAGGGCTCACTGGGCTCATTCTTTGATAGCCTGTCCCTCCTTTAGATCCAATTTTACATGTACTTCACTGAATGTTGTGTCAGACTTCAGTTGTGATGGTAACTGTTGGTAAAATTTTATATATATATATATATAATACATATATATATATTTAGGTTGGAAGTTTATTTAGGCTGGAGCCCCTCTGCTCCAGAGCCAGGCTGAGAGAGGTGGGATTGTTCAGCCTGGAGAGGAGAAGGCTCCAGGGAGACCTCAGAGCCCCTTCCAGTGCCTAAAGGGGCTCCGAGAGAACTGGAGAGGGACTTTGGACAAGGGCCTGCAGGGACAGGACAAGGGGGAATGGCTTCCCACTGCCAGAGGGCAGAGTTAGACGGGATATTGGGAAGGAATTCTTCCCTGTGAGGGTGGTGATGGGCTGGGATGGAATTCCCAGAGAAGCTGTGGCTGCCCCATCCCTGGAAGTGTCTAAGGCCAGGTTGGATGGGGCTGGAGCAACCTGGGCTAGTGGAAGGTGTCCCTGCCCATGGCAGCAGGTAGATCTGGATGAGCTTTAAGGTCCCTTCCAACCCAAACCATTCCATGATTCTATGATTTATATTAAGTTTCCATGCTCCCACTGTGAATTAAGGAATGGGATGGGGCAGAAGCAATCCAGTGCTGCAGGCTCTGAGTGCCAGCAGTGATGGGATCACTGGGCAGGGACGTGGCTGCTGCAGAGGATGTTCTGCTCTCTCCTGAGCCTGTGCCAAAGCCAGCACTACAACACCAGTTTCCTGCTCTAGCACAAGATTTTGGAGATCCAGGATCTCACTGTCTTTATTTTTTACTTTGTTTTAATTGATACTGAGGGAACAAGTGGGTGCTTCTGGTACCTGAGCTCTGAGGGCAGCACTGGGACAATGAGAGATGGTAACGGATTCCATGATGTTCTGTGTGATAAGGTTTCAGGATTAATTCTGTTGCCTGAGAGAACTGGCAAACACACAAATCCTGCAGAGAAACTCCTCCCTTCCTCTGTTGCAAACAGATCAGCTGTCCATGTGCTGCCAAAGGGCTCTTCCATGAAGAATTCCTGAGCTCCAGGTGTTTAACCCTTGGTTTCCGTTCCAGGATCAACTGCTACAACGTGTTTGGTGCCCAGGCCCCCTTTGGGGGCTACAAGGCCTCTGGGAACGGGCGAGAGCTGGGGGAATATGGACTGGATGCCTATTTGGAGGTGAAAAATGTGAGTATCCCTGTGCCCAAGGCATGCCCAACCCTCTGCTGGAGCTCCAAGTTGTACCCGTGCCTGTTGGTGTGGGCTGGGCTGAGAGCTGCAATTCTTCCTTCTGGTGCTTGAAAGCAAATTGGAGCAGAACTGTGACCCAGACCTGGAGACTCCCCCTCTCCCTGAGCCTTCCCAGTCTCCAGACCTCTCCCTGTCCTCTGGTTCTCTCCTGCCTCTCCAGTGACTACCCCTGAACAGTCTAAAGAAAGAATCACTTGTGACTTTTTCTTCTTTTTTTTCTTCTAGGTGACAATCAAAATTCCACAGAAAAACTCCTAAAGGAAAGGACAGCAGCCTCTCCAGGAATTTGGAAACACTTCTGCAGCTTCATGAGACAAAAAGCAGCAAAACCTCTAAACACACAAAATTTAGGTGCAAAAATAACGTAACTCTGCGTTGAGTTTTTTTTAGAAGGTGTTTGAAGGAGCTTTTGTTAAAAAAAAATTACTTGGCTTTATCTTTTTAAAATACCAAATACAGTGAGTTGAGCACTAACACGAGATGGGTTATTTTGGGTACAATCACCCACATGAGATGGGTGTGATCTTTCCATCTGTATCTGATAGATATGCTTTTTTTCCTCCCAAGAAATTATTGAACTGCTTGTTTAGTCTTGGAGGGTTTATATAAAGTAACAATTCTTTGTTGGCTTACAGAGCTGGCTCTATACCCTTGCCCTATAAAACTATGTATGTCCCTCTTGTGTGAGCAGACTGAACTCGGGTGTGTACCTGGGCAGGGAGTGAAATCCGTGAGGTGAAAGTGTTTTCTTGTTCCCTCCTGCTCTTTGTATCCACTCCCAATAAACATTCCTGTCTTAGTGTATCTAACCCTACCTTTGTTGGAGGTTTGTGCATACAAATCCCGGCCTCAGCAAGCGGTTTTTGAGGATTTTCGCTGCCTTTCTGCCTTTCCCGCTGTTCTGGTGCTGCCTTAAAGGAACTCCTACACCTGCAAGGCGGGCAGAGCTACTTGAGCACCGGAGGGTGTGACGGGGGTCTGAGCCTCACTGAGGGCGCTGGGAGACACCTCCCTGGTGTGGTTACGAGGGGTAGGGGGACTGTGAGGGGATACGGAGGGCGCAGGGCAAGTTCGGAGGCTCCTTCTCGCTGCTCTCTCTCAGGGCCGCACGGTCAGCCATTGCTGGAGATCTCGCGAGACTTGGCGCCGCTCGGCCCCTCACGACCCGAGGAGCCTCCATTCCCCTCACAGCGGGGGAGCCTAGAGATCTCGCGAGATTTCGCTCTGCCCAGCCCCTCAGGCTGGCAGGCGCGCTGAGATCTCGCGATATCTGTCATCTCGGGACCGGACGAGCAGCTTCACCCTCGATCACCGCCTGCCCCACGAGATCTCGCGAGACGTCGCGCCGCGCGGCCCCTCATGACCCGACGGGCCTCCATCCCCCTCAAGTCCCGCGGGTGCACCGAGATCTCGCGAGACTTCCTGGGGTGCCGCGAGAGGGGCGGGGCGAGGCACTTAGTCCATCTCACGACGTCATTAAAAAGCGCCCCTTCGCTCGAAAGCCCCACGGGGGCCTTGCTGGCGTTGGCGCTCTTTCAGAGCCGCCCCTGCGCCGCCTGCAAACCGCTCCACCGGCGCGGCGGCGGCGCCGAAAATTGCGAGTTCGCGCGGGGCGGGCGCGGGGATCCAGCCGTGTCCTTCCGCGGGGCGCGCGGCGGCGGCGTCCACGTCGGCGTGGGGCTTGGCGGCCGGCGGGGCTGACCGCGGCGGTGCCGGCGATGTCCGCGCGCGGGGCCCGGGCGGCTCCTGCCGGGGCCGCGGCCGCTGTCGGGGCCCGCGGGGTCCCGCTGCCCCCGCGCGCCCGGGAATGAGGCACAGCGGCGGCGGCTCCAGCGCACCTGCGGGGCTGCGCCTGCCCTGAGGCGGCCCCGGCGGTTTCGCCCCTCGCGGGACGATGTCGCAGGATCACGACATGGACCGGACGATCAAGGTGAGCAGCGGCCGCCGGGCCGGGCGGGGGCTCCTGGGGACCGTGGGATTGACGTGCGGAGCTGCCTGGACACACGGAGCCTGGTTTGGGACGGAGACTTTGTTTGCTCTGTGGGCGCTCGGGGAGGTTCCCACAGATCACCCCCCCCCCAAACAGCCGAACTTTTCACTGTTATTCCATTTTAGCGAACAAAGGAATTAACGGTCAATTCCTATAAGTTACACGGTTTTCTCATTAACTAGTATTCTGTTTTCTTCTGGTTAATGATTCTCTTATTTCTCATGTGAATTAGTGCCATGCTCAGTCTTTCTCTTGTTTTGGGTCTGGGGGTTTGTTGGGTCGGTCAGAATCTCCTCGTACCCCGGTGGAACCGGTTTCAGCCCAGTTCCTGAGTTGGGTTTATTAGTTTTTTCCTTCTCTTGGGGGTTCTGCCCCATGTCCTTGTGATTCTAAATTCTGCATTCCCTGTGTCCACTATCAGTGGAAATCCTTCTCCCCACACTTTGTTAACCTGCCCCAGGTCTGAGATCGCTGAAACATGTCCAGCCCTAAACCTTAACAAGGCAATTCTACCCACAAGTCGTTTGTTTCTCTAACACGTGGACACCACTTAGAGCTGCTGTTTCACTGATTAACTCTTCTTGTTTATTAGGCTTGAAAAGATCAAACACCAAAGAAAATCCTTAAGAAACCTTTTACACATTCCCCATTTTGCCACAATGAGCAGGACCCTGTTTCACAATCCCCTCTCATTCCCTGTAATTCTCTCTGGGCAAACTGTTGGCTATTCCCTGAGGTGCCACATCCTTCTGTGTGAAAACAAATCTGGTGTGTGGGATGCTGAACAGATCCAGGGTTCCAGAATCCTTTGCTGTGGAAACTGGGGAATTCCTTTTGGAATAAAGTGATATAAAACAGTATTTTAAAGCCTCTCTGCAGCCTCTTCACCTTGTGCAAAGCATTTGCTGTCAGAAATTCTGGACTTCTTCATAAAAGCTTATTGAAATAAAGAACAAATTCCTGAAGGATGGAGCAAAACAGACCCTGTGTTTTGGAATTTCCCACCTTTCCTTGTCCCTGCCACAGTGGGATTTGTCTTTACAAAGCTCACTGGGTGCAAATTCCAGTGTAAGAGAAGCAGCAACACCTTGTGTTGAAATCTAGATTGATTAACTAATTAATCCCAAATGGTTTGGGTTGGAAGCACCTTAAAACTATGCAGTTCCACCCCCTCCATGGGCAGGGATACCTTCCAGGGGGCTCCAAGCCCTGTCCAACCTGCCCTTGGACACTTCCATACTAAAATATATGGAATATATTGAAAATATACGGGTTTTGTACTTAAAAGGGCCTAAAGTAGAAGGAAATCCAAGCAGATTGTAATTAAACAAGTGTCACAATTGTTTCCTGTTTTCTTTTCCTGGCACAGTGCAGGGGAAGGAAAGTCCTGAAGTGTTTGAAAAAGAAAGTTTTTTTAAGTATTTCTCTGGTATTTCATGTGAAGGAAAAGATCTCCATGAGGGCTTTTGGGGTTTAAAACAAAAATCCAAAGCAGTTATGGGAGTGTAGAGACAGTTCTGAGCCTCCTGCTCCTCTCAGCTCAACCCAGACCAGGTTCTGGACAAATCCCTGGAGTTCTGAACCATAATTTAGTATTTTAATATGTTATCCTGATTTTTCTGCTTCCCAAATCCCTGGTTATGGTTCAGGTTTGGTTGTTTCACTGCCTGTGCAGGTTTAACTCTGTGGTTCAGGACAGGGAGCAGAGATTAGGGAAGGAGGCGGGAAGAGCAGAAGAGGTGGAATTACACAGGTCCAAGCCTGTGCACCTTGAATTTTTATTGTAAAGGTTGTTTTGTTCTCACAATTCCTTATTTCAAACCTTTTCCCATAAATATTCAGTGGAAACTGAGAATCATGGAATTGTTAAGGCTGGAAAAGACCTTTAAATCAGAAGAGCCTGAGCTTTTCCCTGAACAGTCCTGATGTTTGTCCCTCTCAAACCTCTTTGTTTCAAACCTCTTCCCATCAGTATTCCACAGAAACTGAGAATTATGGAATCATTAAGGCTGGAAAAGACATTTAAGTCAGAAGTGCCTGAGCATCCAGCTGGAAAAACTCTGGGAATGCTGCTTTTCCAGGCCTTTGGCATCCCAGCCTGCTGACTGTGCTGCTCCAAGTGTTGTTTTAGGAGCCCAGAGCTGCTGGGAGGGAGTTGAGCTTCTGGGAGGGAGTTGTGCTGCTGGAGAGAACTCAGACTTTGTTGTAATTGGATGGATTCCATATTAATTTATTCCCTTTTCCCACTGGAAATTAAGTTAAGGAGTGATCAGAAGTTCCAAGTTCCTTTGACAGCAGGATCACAAAGGTTTCCTGTGTCCATCAATCCAAACAGAGCCCAGGCCTTTGGGCTTCCCACTTGAAACACTTGGGTATTTTACCAGGGCAGTTTGATATTTTTGCTTTTTAAGCATTTCAAGCTGTTTAGAATCACAGAATCTTGGATTATTAAAGTTGGAAAAGCCCTCCAAGATCATGGGGTTCAAACTCTGACAGAAAAGATTCTGAAGATGATGTTTGGGTGTTATGGGCTCGTGTTGGTTTGTGGCTGCACAGACTCGGGGCTGGATTTGGAGCTGCTGGTTCTGAATTAGGGGATGTAAGTGATTGAAGTTCCCAAGTACTGAATTTGGAAATGGTAAAAAGTGTTTCTTGGTCACTGTGTTATATTCATTTTAACTTCTAAGTTGTAAAGTTGCTTTGAGTGAAGGTTGGAACCCAAATAAAACTGCAAAAAAACCCTCCCAAAATGTTGCCTTTTTATTAAAAAAAAAAAAAAAGCAAATACACTATATGAAAGTTAATTTTTAATAAAAATGGACTTACAGTTGTTCAACTTGTCCTTTAGTTGTTGAAAATGATCAGATCTTATTTTTCCTTCATTTCATTCAGAAATCACAGACTTTCCAGTCCTAATCAGCTTCTCCGGCCCATTTATTCAGGAATAAATGGGGATATTTGGCATTTGCTTTTCCATTTCAGCTCCTTCAAAACTTACATCCCAAGTGTGATGTGTAAAGCTGAGGGGGAACTCCCCAGTCCAGAGAAACCCTTTCCCTGCTCATTAATGCTCTCCTAAAACTAATTTTAATTAATTTATTATATTTAATATATTTAATTAACGCTCTCCTAAAAGCTATGGTTTCATCCCACCTCTGCTGCCTTCAGTTCTTTGTAGCTGAATATCAGGAAAATTAAAGCAGCTTTTCCCTAATATGCTTCTCACAAATAAAATTTGAGTTATTGGAATTGATAAGAAGTTTCTTTGTGGTTATCCAAACAACAGATAGGTGTGATCCATATTTCTTCCTTCATTTATAAAAACTCCAGTGAACTTGTTTTTTTCCCTTTTCACCTTTCACTGGTCATTTATGATTTATATAACACTCCAGGCTGTGTTAAAAACCAGTTTTTCCTTTCATACCTGCCCCTTGCACTCTTTAATCCCTTCAAATCTTGCCTTAAATATCCACTTTCCTCCCTTGTTTTGTTCTCAATCCGTGTGGTTTGAGGTCTGGCTCCAGCATAGAGTTAATCCAAGATTATTGTAGCAGAGACCACCAATCCCAGGTGAGGGATTGGCCTTTTCCAACAGCTTAAAATCATTACAGAACCAAGATCATCAAGTCCAACCTTTAGCCTTAGTTGAGAGCAGGAGTGTCCTCAGTTTTCTGGGATAAAATGCTCCCTTTGAATTATTAACAGAAAAGTCTGATCAGAATAAAGTTCCTTTACAAGTGGTGGCCTCTTCCCTTAATTTTCAGTGTATTTGGGAATATTTTCCCTGCCTCCTTAAGCTTCCCCAGCGCTGGTGGTTGTACCAGCCCCTTTCTTGTGATTTATCCCAAAGTTTGGCTTTGGAAAGATGATCCTGGGGTGTAATAAAAGGACAAAGGCACAGCACAGGGCAGCAGCTTTAATCCAAATTAATCAAAAAGCCACCCTGTGCTTGATTTCCATCCTGCCCTGGGACATGTTTAAGCCTGAGAGCACCCAAGCTGTGTCCTAACAAAACCAAGCCCTGTTTAGATGGATTGGGACGTAAGGATTATAAACATGGGGCTGGTTCATTATCAGACAGGCTAAAACCAGTCAGACAGGGTTTGATTTGCAATGTAATGACTCCAAAAGTTTGAAAACCTTATTTTTCAGATGTACTCTATGACCCAAAAATACATGTTAATGCTGAGATTGGGCCCTTCAGCTGGGATTGATCATGTACAGGTGGATTTAAATCAGGGGGAGATGCCCTTGTTACACTTCGTGTGCTAAAGACTGTTCTCAGTAATCCTGGTTCAGAGTGCCTGGATGAGCATTCCCACTGCACAGAAACACTTGCAAACAAATAAATTGTCATATGAGCGTTTGTATTTATGTTGAATTTTCCACAACAGGCTCTTTCCTGCTCAGGAATTTTGCAAACCAGGTCTGCTGAACTCTTTTTTTTTTTGGGGGGGAGGGGGGAAGGGCTGTAGTAATTTTATTTATTTATGTGTTTATTGACTATTTTTTCACTCTTCCTGCTCCTTCTTGAATAGGAAACCTCCATTTTAGAGGAGTACAACATTAACTGGACTCAGAAGTTGGGAGCTGGGATCAGTGGGCCTGTGAGGTAAGAGAGCACCCCAAGTTTGGGGAGAAGTCAGTGAGTATTTTAAATGCTTTTGACAGAGTGTGATCCATGGAAAACTCCTTATAAACAACAAATATCTGCTCCATGTGGGTCCTGCAAGTGGGGTTTTGTCTTTTATGGGATGTATGTGCAGTAAATCCTCCCTCACCTCACTGTCCCATCTCATGCCGTGTTCCTGGAATTGGTTGTGGCCACAGAAATTCCTCCTAAAACCCCTCTGTCCTTGAATCCTCGTGTCCCTGCAGTGCAAAGGTTCCTCTGTGCCATCACCACTGTCCCTTTCCTGTTTTTTCCAGTTTTTTCCCCTCATCCTGTGAGGCCAAAGCAGACAATTCCATCAGCATCCCAACTGTGTCCCTCATGGATTTCTAACCCTAGCACGAGCTGGATACTTTCTGTGAAGCAAAAGATATATTCCCTTTTCAACAAGGCCTCTGCCTTCAGGGAATGGGAATTTCTGCTGGAAAACAACTGTTCCTGGGTGCTCCACAGGGTCCTTGTCTTTCACCACCATTTGTCTCCCTGTCCAGCCCACTGGTTTCTCCTCATTTATTTTGTGTTGCCTCTGATCTCCATTAAAACACCCCCTTCGGGCTTTATTGTGTTAAAATGTGGGCCCTTCCCTCAATTGTTCGTGTTAAATTGGGGAAAGAGAGAAAAAACAGTTGGTGGCCTGGCCAAAAATGAGGATTTCCATTCAGAAACACTTTATTTATTAGAGTCCACCCTCCACTGGGGATGCTCAGGCTGCCACTGCGTGCTTTGGGTTTTTTTCACCCAAAGTATCTCTTGAGGCTGAATTTTGAGGGAGTTTTGCTTGTCTTCAGTTCCCCCTTGCTCTGAAAGGCTTCTTTTTGTCTTGCTGGAAGTCAAATTTGTTTGAGGATGTTTCTACAGAACTTACTTGGTTGTTGTGGGAGGCCGAAAACTGAGGTTTTCAAGCTGGGCCATGGGGAGAGGTGCCCTTATATCCCATCTTAATTCCTGTTAATTCCCACATGGAGAACAGTCTCAGATCAATTGCTTGAAGTGTCTCTTTAACATTCTTGCTGACTGAATAATTTTATTGCTGTAATACCAGAGTCTGCATGAAAAAATCCTCTCAAGAACGCTTTGCACTGAAAATCCTCCTTGATCGTCCAAAAGCTAGAAATGAGGTATAGTTCCTGTTTCTACTGCCTGCCTTCTGACACACCACAAAATGTAGTGTTTTAAAAGAATGGGTTTTTTTAAAAAGTGCTTAAAAATGTTAAAACAAAATGTAAAAAAAAAAAAAGTTTAAAAAACCCCCTCACTAAACCCACGTTTGCTGTGCAAGAATTACTCGGGGTTGATCCTCAAGCCTTGCTGTGCTCAGTTCCCATGGGATGAGGTGGTGGGGGAAAAGAGGGTCCAACTCTGTAGGAATTGCTGTACAGATATTTATTTAGAATTTGCTGAACTACATTTTAGAGCTGTTCCTCTCCCTGTGTCCTGTGTAACGTAACACGACCGGTTTAGAGGGAATTTTGTTTCCATACCTCTCACTCTTGGATGTCACAGCTCTCAGGATTGCCAGGAATGCTTCAAGTTGCACTGGAAATGGATTTATCTGTGTGCCAGGAACTAAAATCAGCTCGTGGTGCTGGTTGTGACTTCCTGAGGCTGCTGAGAACGTGCCAAGGTGCCAAACTGTCAGGCTGTGAAATGCTGGGCACTCCTTCCAGCTGTCAGGAATTTGGAGAAGGATTAATTATCCCTGAGGTTTAGGCAGCTTGCATTGCTTGTTACTTAAATTCAGTGTTAAAATTCCCAGGGAAAAAATAGTCTGTGTTCAAAAAAGCGTCATTGGTTTGATTGAGCAGCCCAGGAAGCTTTAAACTTAAATTCCCTAAGTCCCTGTTTCAGAGTACTGGGACAGGAGATGGGGTTTCACACATGGAGTGCATAAAAGAAGCCAGATTATGGAATTTTTTGTTTCAATCATTAATTTTCACTTTCAGTCCTGTCTCTGTTTCTACTTTAAACTAGCTCTGCCTTTAAATTTATTTTGGAAACCCGAAGAAATAAAAAAAAATGAGCTTTTTCTGGAACTTTGAGGGTGATTCTGTGGCTTGTAACAAATAGGTTGACAATATCTGATGTTTTTATCATAGTCTGAGTAGTGGAATGGCTGCTGGTCACTCATATCAACACTTACTTCTTAATTCTTGGATAATTTGAAGCTGTGAGTGGTGCTGAGCAGAGCTGGGCTGTGGTTTGCGGGGGAAAGGGGGATCAGAAGTGCCCAGAGCCTGTCCCTGTGTGCAGTAACACCCCTCCCTTCTCTTCAAGGTACGTCTGCACATGATGTGTGCAACACATCCCAATATTGTTCAAATTATTGAAGTTTATGCTAACAGTGTGCAGTTCCCACATGAGTCCAGCCCAAGGTAAGATTACATAGGGGGGTCATTCCCACAGCTTTCCATGTTTAGCCCAAGGTATAGTGCAGTTTGCTTTTTTGTTTGTTTGCTTTTAATCACAAAATTATTATTTATAGGGGGTCCCAGATGTCATATTTAATACCATATTTATCCTTCAGACCAAGCAACACTTGCTTTTTCCCCTGGCAATGTATACTTAAATTAATTTGCATCCTTTCCTACCTGTTTGAGTACATCTCCATTTCTTAGGTTTTTCATTGATTCAGTCTGTTATATCTGTGCTGTGTGAGACAAAGAATTGTTTCTAAAAATACTGAATTCAGCCCTGAAAACTCTTAATATCTTAATATGAACACAGAAAAAGAAAAACATGAAGCAGACTGATTTTTTTTTTTCCTACATTAATCACTTGGGATAAAAATATTGTCTTCTAATTGGATATTAGTTGAGAAAAAGCATCAGAGCTGGGAGAATTAAAGAGCTGAGACCTGTCTTAGTCTCTGATGTGTCTGATTTTGCTGTATGGGGATAACTAGGAGTTAATTCCTTGAGGGTCTGCCAGTCCTGGTCTCTATGTTCCCTATATTCCTTCATAATTATGGCAATAAAGCTGTAAATTAAAATCCTGGGGTTCAGTAGAGCATCCACACCCAAAAGCATCTGTTCTTTGAGGGCAGAGTTATCCCTGGATGTGTCCATGTGGCTTCCAGGACCAAACTGGGTGGAGCCACCTGGATCTGGATGCATCCATGTGGACATTGTTTCCTCAGGAGGAGCAAAGTGGAGATTCCTGGCTGAGTCAGGTTGTGCTGGGAGCCAGAAAATCCTGCAGTTTATACAGTTAAAGCTAAAAGAACCAAAAGAACCAAAAGTACCAAAAGTAAAAGAATCAAAACTAATGAACCAAAATTAGGGAACCAAAGCAGCTCCAACCGCTGTAGGAGAAACAAGGGTCTTGGCCTGTCAGTAAATGTAAAATATGCACTGTTAGTTTAGAAATTCTGTTCTATTTTTTTTTATTTAATGATTTTTAATGTAACAAAATGAAATGCTTTTGAACAGGGCTCGGCTCCTAATTGTAATGGAGATGATGGAAGGGGGAGAGCTCTTTCACAGAATCAGCCAGCACCGGCACTTTACTGAGAAGCAAGCAAGCCAAGTAACAAAGCAGGCAAGTCACCCCCCTGTCTGAGCAAATCCACAAGTGATAATGGCTAAATATTAACAATTCCTTGGGCTGGGAGGGGTGGGAAAAAAGGCCTAAAGAAAATAATCCTCTCTTCTGATCCGATGATCATTTGCCTGCTTTGTTATAACCTGACAATGCCGAAGTTTGGTAGAAAATAATAAAGAGTTTGAAGTTGTGGGCTTGTTCTTTGGGTCTGCTGTCTTTAACAGTGGTTTTCCTCACCTGGTCTACAGAACACTTCAAAGAGAACTTTTTTTTCTCCTACTGTGTCCTCTCTGTTGTCCTAAAAGTGTTGCCTCCAGCAGCCCCCAAGCTCTTGTGGCTCCAATTTGATTCCAGCTGGAAATACATCCCAAACTTCTCTCCTCTTTTGGGCCCATGTGTCCTGGGCCAGTGGATTCCAAGCTGGGCTTTGTGCTTGGTTTTATGGAAGTCCTGCCCTTTGTGGAAGATAACAAGGAATGTGCCACTTTAGTGCCTGTTTTCTGTGTTGTTTGTTCTGGTGTCGTTTTGCCTTCACTGTTTCTCTGCACAGCTCACTCTTGAATGCTGTATTTTAAATATATTTGCAGTTTAAATACATAAAAGCGTTTTAAACACACCATGGTGGTTTCTACAAGAGGTTTTGGCATCCATCAGGCTCTTTGTTCTCAGCATCTGGTGTGACTCCCTGAAATTCAGGGATCCCCAGGGTCAGTTCCCCTCAAACGGGGAGATAACATTTGGTACTGAGGCAAAAAAAGAGGCCCAAATAATTCCATCTTACTTTTCTCTTTTGTGCTTTGACTTGTTTCTAATGAAGTGCTAATTGTTGCTGTTGCCTCTTTGGTTTCATCCAGCAAAAATTAGGTGGAAGCTCAGAATTATTCCTGACAGTTTTTCATGTCCTTTGGGCTGTTTGATTCTGACATGTTGGGAAAATCTTGTAACACCAAAATCAAGATTTTGAATTAAATTCTTACTCTGTGTGTGCACTTGGGGTATTCATGTCCCAAGTAACTCTTGTCTTTAATGTTTATAGAAATGAAGTTTGAAATGTTAAAATCTTATTCTTTCATATAGTAATTTATCTTGAACTGTGACTTGATTCCTTGTAGCCTGTAATAGCTAGAACATGTCGCAGAGCTGCCTCATTTTCTCTGGGAATGTGTTTGTATTTGGTTCTGAGCTAAATTAACACCAAAGTTCCCATGTGACAGTAATTTGCACGTTTTGAAGGCATCAACACTTCCCTCAGGGTGCTGGGTTTGGGTGGGATCCTGCAGAACCCAACAGGAATATTTCCAAATAAGGGCTGTGTGGCTTTGCCTTCCTTCAGCCTCAGTAAAGCTGTTTAAATATTTATGCTTGGGTTTTCTTTGAATGAATTGCACTTGGAAATGTCCATTCCCTGGAGTTTTCCTGGGTTTCCAAACCACAGCAGGGTGAGAAACTGCCTTTGAAAGGATCGTGGAGTGCATTTCTGTGTGATGGCCCATGTAATGAGGGAAGTGCAGGCAGTGCCATCAAAAATGAAAGAATAAAACTGCCTGAATGTTGGATCTCAATCAGTAACAAGTGCAATAAAACATTCACAGAAATACTGAAGCTGTTGGGTGTTAAGCAGGGTGTGGTTGCTGGGCAGGGGCACCTTGGAGGGCTGGCACAGCACAGGGAAGGGCACTGTCAGATCTGTTCCACTTTGGGCTGTCATTAATGCCTTGATTGAGTCAAATGAGATGGTTGGGCAGCCCAGTCCAACTTGGCTTTTGTTTTCTGTTTGCTTTGAGTGAAACATAAACTGAATCCTTGGGGGGATGAACGTCCCACCCATCACTTCACTGCCCTTATTGCAGGGTCAGGCCTGTCTGAACTCAGCCTTGCAGCCAAGTGCAGTGAGAATGTTTGGGGTCTGACATACATAGGAAATGTCCTTTTTCTAAAGCTAAAATAATGTCCAGGCTGAAGCAGGAGTTCTGTAACTGTAGCTCATTTACTGTGCCCTTTTCCAGATAGCTTTGGCTTTGCAGCATTGCCACTCACTAAACATTGCACACAGAGACCTCAAGCCTGAGAATCTCCTCTTCAAGGATAACTCTCTGGTAAGATGAATACTGGAATTCTTTTTTTTTTACTCCTGAATTCTGTAAAATGGTGATTTTCAGAATAGTTGTAAAATTACATTAATCACCTTTATTGACTTTGTGCTTGTATGTTCTCTGATGTCCTTGGAGCACAGTCTGTTAAATATGAGGCAGGTTCTCCAGCTCTACACAAATCCAGCTTTGCTGAGGAGAAGATCATCCTTTGCCACATCATCAGGATGTTCTGACAAGCATTAGAGGGGCTTCGATAGACCCAAACACTTCCTTGTTTCTTTTTCCTGCTCATAACCACCCTGGACACGCAGTGACCCCCCTAGAACGTGTTTATTGCTGTCCCAATCTCAGAGGGGGCTGTTCCTGGCCCAGAGCACTCAGGAAAGCAAAAATGCTTGTTTGAAAGATCAGTTTTTGTCCTTTTAGCTTGGGGGAATGTGAGTGTGTGAATACAGATGAGGAGTATGTGTGGCAAAGGTGAGATGAGAACAAGGCAAGACTTACATGTTAGAAAAGCTGATAATAATGAGATTTATGTAATGAAGCCTCTTCTCCTTATTTCAGGATGCTCCTGTTAAACTGTGTGACTTTGGATTTGCCAAAGTAGACCAAGGTGACTTGATGACACCACAGTTCACTCCGTATTACGTAGCACCTCAGGTAACAAAAATCACAATTCTGGGCTAAAAAGGAATAATTTCTTGCCTGTGCCTCCAGAACTACAGCATTCTAAAAGCCTTTGCTGTCCTGTTCAGGGCTTCTGGGGGCAGGAATCTTGAATAATTGGAGATTAGCCACCTTTGGAACTGGAGTGTCACAGTGATGTGTTGATAAGAGCAGGGGATGGTGAGGCAGATTTCCCAGACTGTTCTTAGCACTGATTTTGTCCATTGACCTTTAACTGCATTAAAGCAGGTGGTTTGGAGAAGTTCCTGCTGTCCCATCCTCCCTCCAGCTCAGGCTCATTCAGTATTACATTAAAAAGGACTGTGCTGGAACAAAAAGGCTCTGAAAAGGCTCAAAAAGGGCAGTGGTTACCTGAGCACCTTGGCTTGGCCCCTTGTCATTAAGGCACAATCTATAATTACAGACAGGCTGCTCTTTGTAGTGCTGCTTTCCCCACTCTCTTCTGTCCTTTGTGTTGGAATCCTGAAGAAAATGAAAAGAAAACTGCAGGTGGATCTTTAATTGCAGTGCTGGGCACGTCAGAGCCTTTAATCACTGGGAAGAACAACTCAGAGATCAGACCCCGAAAGTACCTCCTCAGCTGGAGCCTCCCGGGCCTTCTGGAAACCCAAACCCTCAGATTTGGTCAGCAAGGGACAGATTTGGTGTCATTTGTTCCTGGGAGAGGCAAAAAGGGACATCTCTGGAGCTCAGGTTACCCTCCAGTCACACTCCGGGTTCTAATTCCAAGCCCGGAGGTGTTGGAAGTTGGGAGCAGTTGCTTTAATTCAGGCAAAACTGATAAATTTCATTCAAAGCAGCAAAATATTTTAGCTGAATGTAGAAAGTCCCTGTCTTTTCTAGGAAGAAAATTTTGAGTTTGAAAGAGCCTTCAGTGGCTGGAATAAGTTTACAGAATGGAAAAACATCCGGAATCTTTTTGCCTATAGATGAGATGTATTTTGCTTTGTTTTCTTTTTTTTCCTCTCATGACAACAGGTATTGGAGGCACAGAGAAGACATCAGAAAGAGAAATCTGGTATTATCCCCACCTCTCCAACACCCTACACTTACAACAAGGTGAGTGGGAAACAGTGCTTTTAACAGTGTTTTTAAAGTGCCTTCCCCACCAACCCTGCTGGAGAAATCTATAGGCACAATTTAACACCCAAGGCAATAAAGTTTATTGCCCTAAAATGACACCCTTACAGCAGCAATAAATTTGTTGTGGTCTGTGACAGGAATGCATCTAAAAAGCCAAATATCTCACACTGAGCAAAAGCAGGATCTAGAGAAACCAGCAGGGAAATGTCACGTTGCTGGTTATTTTGTGTTCCTTTGGCTTTTCTGAAGGAGTGACCAGGTTTGCAGTGGGATTTCTCCTTGAACAGGACCAGGCTTCACTCAGTTGAAGTGGCAGATGAGGAGATAATTATCTCTGCAGGCTCTGTCTTGGTTTGGAAGTGACACACTGAAAGTGCTGCTGCCTCAGTTCTTTCTGATGGAGTGAATAATGAAATGCACACTTAACCCAACCCTAATTAATGATCCTCTAATTAAAGGAGAAACACACAAACACTGTTAAGGAGCACTAAATATGAAAAGATTTTGGAGGGAGCAGAATGATTCTGCTGGAGTGAGACCATAGGGGAGGTTCTTTCATCCCTACAAGAGGCTGTTCACAGGGATCTTCTTTCCTACTGTCACCCAGAGCTTCTGGATGTGCAGATGTTTTGTCCAGGCAGCTGTGGTGGAACCTGGTCTGTATCTGGGAACTTCTAGAAATGCCCAGTATTTTATGGTGTAGCCCTGGACGGTACCAGCTGCTGCTGGAGCCTTGGCAAAGTGTCCTGAAGGGTTGTATTCCTTTTTGGGCATTCCAAAACCTTTTCCTTCATATTCTCATCACTGTCTCCTGCTTGCTGAGCAGTGTTTGAACCACTGAGTGTTCTTGGAATGTCAACTCTAATTAAAATTAGCTGGTTTCTGATGCCAGTCCTAAGGATCTACCTGAGTTCCAGCTGTTTAACCCACCGTGTGCTAGAGCAGGTAGTTTGATAGTGGTATTAGGGTTTAGTAGCCTCCTATAGAGAGCTAAAGCAAAGATTAACTACTCTGCAGGGGTTTCCTGACCGCAAATCCACCTTCTCCAGGGTTCTGATTACCCCTTCTCCACCCTGGAGAAGCAGGTTGGGGGTTGAAGGCAGACACTTGTTCTGCAGTAGCTCCCCCAGTGCTGCAAAGCTGACCCGGAGTGGCACTGTCCTTGCTTGCAGAGCTGTGACCTCTGGTCCCTGGGTGTCATCATCTACGTGATGCTGTGTGGGTACCCCCCCTTCTACTCCAAACACCACAGCAGGACCATCCCAAAGGACATGAGGAAGAAGATCATGACAGGAAGCTTTGAATTCCCAGAGGAGGAGTGGAGCCAGATCTCTGAGATGGCCAAGGACATCGTGCGGAAGTGAGTCCGGGGAGGGAAGTGTTTTATTGCTCTTTCTGGTATTAAAAGGTTGAAAAGTCCCTTGAAAGTGTGTTTTCCCAAAGGGATTGTTCTTCTACCTTGTCTGCAGCTCATACAGCTGACAAATCTTCTGTCATATTCAGCATAAAGTCTGGTAAATATTTTTCTTCCCTTCTTTTTTCCCGTCCCCAACTGTTTAATTTTGATGTTTCTGAATTTCTTAAAAGTGAATTGTGAGTTTAGTCTTTAAGGGCAGCAGATGCACCAAGGGGTTCAGAACAACACACACAACTGGCTGCCACATCAGGTGCTCTACAGCCTTGGATCCTGTACAATAATGTTTAAATTCCTGCTAAAATCAGGTGGTTTAATAAGATCTGGTAGTTCTGCCCCTTAAAACCAAGTGCACATCATACCCAGTCTGAAAGGAGTCAAGAGAGGCAGGGAAAGGCGCAGGGTAAGGTCTGTCCTGAAGGTATCAGGCTCTGGGATGAGGGTTTGCATTGAAGTTTTATTCCAAGTGCTCATGGAAGCTGCTTTTTGCATGCCCTGCACATCTCTCAGCTGGAAGGGTTTCACAAAGGGGCTGTTTGAAAGCCAGAACGTGGCACTGATTGGGGCTTATTTTTTAAAGAGTAAGAGGGAGTTGCTGCCTTTGTATGACTAGAGAAACTGAAAGAATAAAACCAACATAAATAGGAAAAAAATCAGTTGGGGAAGTAATTTTAAAGTGTCACTGGCTCTTCAAAGATACCGTGAAATCTCCAAGGACTTCATATTGCTGGGACCTTTGGAGCAGTGCAGGAGAACCCACAACCTTTCACCAAATGAACTGCAGGGAAACTTTGCTTTATACAAAAGGTTTAAAGGTTTTAAAAGCAAAAAGTTTTATTGTCCTTTAAAATGACCATAAACTCAGCTCACGGAACGTTGTCACGTGGATTCAGTTCACTTATTTATCCCACTGATGTTATCAGGACTCCTTTCCCTGCCTGTCTTTTCCAGCCAGGGAGTCTGAAGTTGGGCTTATGGTGCAGGAATACATTTAGAATTAATATAATTCTGGCTTAGTTTACATTTGATGGGTGTAGGCAGCTCTTCCTATGGCTTTTGGAGCTCATATTTGGCATTTGGGAAGCTGCTGCCTCTCAAGTGTGTCGAGCTCATTTCTCACCTCAAGCTTTGGGAGCTGGAGGGCTGGATAATAAATAGGTCAGGACTTGGAAAACCCATGGAAAAGGAATGCCCAGGTCTTGTATCAGAACTGAACTTATAACCTGTTGGCAGCAAGTGAGATTTCTGAGCTACCCCAGGGTCCTGCTGACATTTTGCACAAGTTATTTCCACTTCCTTGGTACATTAAACAACGTTTGCAGCCAGGAACTGATTTAGGGAATTGTCTAAGGAATGTGACAACCTCCTGGAGTCCTCCTGATTCTAATTCAGACTCTTGGGAGAGCTTGTCAGCACTCTGGGGGGAATTTGGCTTTTTTATGGAGCAGTTCATGAGAACATGAGCTTATCTGCAAAACCTCTTTCCAAGGTTTCATTCTGGTAGCATTTCTTCCATGGATTTTTTAGCAGTAAAGAATTAAGTTCCTTCTTATTTTGAGGAACTGGAACCTGTTGAAGTGTCCATTCCTTGAGGGCTTTGCAGGGGAAGAAAAGCTAAGGAGTTGCAGGTGGAAACAGTTAATTCAGTGAAGTTTCCATGCCCAAAATCCTTGGAATGAGTGTGGCCTGTTATGGGGATGAGCTCTAGAAGGGCATTTCCAGGGAGTGTTGGTCTGGATCATTTCCAGCTCGTCTGGGAGATAATTTCCAATCTGAGAACACACAGATATTCCTGAAATGGCCCCTCAGCACCTTTCCTTTACCCTGAATCCCTGCATGTACCTGGATGAGCTTGTTAAATAAATCCACAGCAAGGCTCAGAGAACCTGGGACAAAGTCAGGCTGCTTTTGGGGGCAGTTTGAGCTGTTGTGGACTTCCTTTTTGACCCCTGTGATGCTCAGAGATTGTTCAGTGCTCTGCAAATCAACAAAACCCACTTTATGGATTATTTTTTGCTTTCCCAGGCTGCTGAAGGTCAAACCTGAGGAGAGACTGACCATTGAGGGTGTGTTGGACCATCCCTGGCTCAACTCCACGGAGGCTCTGGACAACATCCTGCCCTCTGCCCAGCTGATGATGGACAAGGTCTGAATTCATAGAAACAGTATTTGTTTGGTCAGGAATGTTGCACAGGAGCAGGACAGCTCTTGGATGATTGGAGTGTTTTGTTTAGGAGAGCCTGAGATCTCTGTAAGCAAATGAAAAGAGGGAGAAAATGGAAATAAATAATGAAATTTGGCCTGGGGGGAGGTGCTCCAGGATTGATGTTAAGAGCAGCCATGTGCTGAGGAGGAGAGAGCAGAGCATGGCAGTGAAAGAGGAATCTTCTCTTCTTTTTTCCCCATTTTATGCCCCTACTGTGACCTCAGTCCTTGTTTCCTTTCAACTCTGCTCAAAGAGGAGTTCACTCAACACTCAGATGTGGTGAACATGAGCAGTAGAGATGATCCTTTGTCCTGTTTCCCCCTGTGAGGTTGGGATATATTATCCCACAGTCAATGACCGTAGTTCTCATCATGTCTTGCTTCATGCAAACCTGATTTTTGTTCCATATCTCCAAAACAAACAAGATTTTGGTACCTCTTTTTCCCATGCATGGCTAGCACTGTGCACATACTGTTCCTTAATTCACAGAGGACCTAAAGTGCAACTCTTCTCCTTCCAGGCCATGGTTGCAGGGATCCAACAGGCTCATGCAGAACAACTTGCAAACATGAGGATTCAAGACCTCAAAGTGAGCCTGAAACCCCTTCACTCCGTGAACAACCCGATCCTGCGCAAGCGGAAACTGCTGGGGTAACTAAAGCTTCCAGGGACACAATGGGGCATCTGGGAGGCTGGAACAGGGCTTTGGGAATGTCCCAGGCTCAGTTCTGAGGTGGTTGAACTCTTGGTGTAGTTGGAGTCACTGGGACAATGTGGTTTGACCTTCCAAGATGTTCTGGTGAGGGCAGGAGGAGCTGGATCCTGTTACTGTGTTAGAACAGATCCCTTATGAGGAGATGGGTCACATGCAAGAGAAGGCAAACTGGGAGAAAGAATTCCAAGATTTTTTTATGATCCTGACACTTATTTACTGAAAAAGTCAGGTCATTTCTCTTTGTTCAAGTTAATCTGAAAAATAGGATAATGCATTTTAGGACTTCCTTGAACTAATTTAAAGGAATATTTCTTTTTCAAATGGTCTCATAATAAAGGACAATAATTATAATTAATGCCAAGTCTGTCTCCCAGCTCTCCAGGGAGTGAAGGAGGGTGTTTTACTGGTGCAGTTATGCAATGAGTAACGAACTTGAGCTGTGACCAAACTCTAATTATTTCCTCCTTGTTCTTCCCCAGCACCAAGCCAAAGGATGGGGTTTATATCCATGACCCTGAGAACGGAAGCAACGATTCCAACGTGGCTCTGGAGAAGCTGAGAGATGTGATTGCCCAGTGCATTCTCCCCCAGGCTGGTAAAGGTTGCCACTTTTAAGAAAGTTCCATTTCTAAACATGCAAGACACTGACTTTGGGTCAGTCTGTGTCAGTGGGGAGGGAGGAAAAACAAAACTCCTGCTGCCCTGGGCACTCTGTGGGCTGGGATTTGTGTGGTGTCAGTGTGAGCAGGGACGTGCAGAGCTGGGAAAAGAACTTTGAGCCAGGAGTGGCTGCTCTGAACCCATTACCTGGTGTGTGTGGGGAGAGGAGGAACAACTGCATGTGCTGTTGGCTGGAGCCCTGAGTGAGGCACGAGGCCAAACCTCCTGGTCCTCTTTGTGCTCCCAAACAGGAGAGAATGAAGATGAGAAGCTGAATGAGGTGATGCAGGAGGCCTGGAAGTACAACCGGGAGTGCAAGTTGCTGCGGGACACTCTGCAGAGCTTCAGCTGGAACGGTGAGGAGCTGCTTCCTTCCACAGGGAAGGGGGAAAACTGAGTGGGAATAACCCCAAATCTACTGAATTTGTGCTGGTTTAGGTTTCACACTGATTCAGGCCTCCTACCAGAATGGGTGTGCTCAAAATGAGGAGCAAAGTTCTGCTTTAAAATCTCTGTTTGAAGTTCAGGGTTGAGTTTTCAGAGGCACCAAGTGGTGTAGGAACAGAACAGCACAAATGGATTGTGATGGAAAAGGGGGAATGGTTTTAAACTGCCAGAGGGCAGGGTTAGGTGGGAGATGGGGAAAGAATCCTTCCCTGTGAGGGTGGTGAGCCCTGGCACAGGTTGCCCAGTGAAAGCTGTGGCTGCCACATCCCTGGAAGTGTCCAAGGCCAGGTTGGACAGGGCTTGGAGCAACCTGGGCTAGTGGAAGGTGTCCCTGCCCATGGCAGGGGTTGAACTAGATGGGCTCTAAGATGCCTTCCAACCCAAACCATTCCATGATTCTGTGATCCCTTTAGGAACCTCTTCAGCTGTTGTGAGCTGGTTTCCTCCCAGCTGTTCATTCCCTCTTTCTGCTGGAGCCCACTGCCCTCACCCCTGTGAGCAAACATCTCCTCAGCTTGGCTTGGGTGGGAAGCAGCATTAAACCAGGACAGTCACCTTGGGAGTGCTCAGATGGCTCCTGGACAAAACAGGGTGGCACAGGAGTCAGCCCCAGGAGCAGAGGGGACCGAGGCCATCATCCAAGCTCACAGGGCTTGGTTGTGCTTCTTCCCTCATTCTGTTTTACTTGGTTGGGTTTAATTTAGGCCTTTAAGTGCTCAGTTTTCCAACAGAACTAGACATTGTAACTCATTTTGGTTCTCTTGCCCTAAGTTTGTGTGAACCATTGTTTAACTCCAGCCAGGATTTCTTCCCTCCTTTGTTCCCAGCACCTGACTCCCTGTTCTTTCCCTTCCAGGCAGAGGATTCACAGACAAAGTGGATCGACTAAAACTGGCAGAAATAGTCAAACAAGTCATCGAAGAGCAAACAAACTCCCACGACTCTCAATAGCTGGAGCTTCTTAATCTTATTTTTTTTACCATTTAAGATTTATTCTTTAACTGTAAAAAGTATTTTTATGTAAATTAATAAATCATAATTATTTCATTAAATTTCCATACTGCTTGAAAATGCTGTATAGTTGTAGATACAAAAAAAAAATCATTGGTACTGTAATATTTTTTTAAAACTCAGTTCCTTGAGGTCTCTACGATCACTTATGTACTGTTAATCATGAGGGCCCCAAAAGGGGTGGATTATATTGCTAAAGACCATTCTTTCTCTTAATAACCAGTTGCAGGAGCTGCTTCCATCTGCCCCATCCAGCACTGCAGTGACTGTGTATGAGAACAAGAGCCACAGTTTAACCCCCTGCTCAGTGAGTACTTGAAGCAAGTGCTGTGAAACACAAATTCATAGCTGCTCTTGGCACCTAAATTCTGATTCTTTAGGTAGAGGCAACTAAATTAAATAACCTTCAGTGTGGCTCAGTGCCCTGAGAGCCCCCTTGGCCTTGCCCAGGGCATCTGAGTCCATGTGCTTGCTGGAATTTTCAGTTCTGAGCAGTAACTCTCCTCTTTTTGTCTCCTTCCCATCTTCCCCAGACCTTCTTCAAGCCTCACCCTTCTCTCTTTCTCCCTCTTCATCTTCCTCAGGCCTTTTTTAAGGCTGAATTCAGCATAAAACTCTTCTTTTTCCCACCTCCTCCAACAGCAGAACAGAAGAATGTTCAAGTTCTTATTACAAGTTGTTTTTATTTTCATGGTGGGATCTTCTATGGACAAAACCCAGTGTTGGGTTTGTTTCCTTCAGCCCCCAGTTGTGTGTGATCCACCCCTGTATTCCCATTCTTTCCTTTCTAGGAGATCCAACTCTTGGTTTTAGACTCTTCTCTTGTTTGAGGGATTATCCTGGCTGGGGTCCCAGTGCTGCTGTGGGATCCCCCAGAGATCCATGTCCTGTGTCCCCTCCAGAGCCCAAATTCCCATTTCTCTGATGCCTTCGAGCTCCTTTTTGGGGGAGCCACAACTCCAGGGCTGCTCCTTCCCACAGGTCCCTTTGCTGCCTCCCCAGGGCAGGTTCTTACACCAGTCTGGAACATTGGCTCCAAAAGCTGCTTTTTTTAACCTTAATGAAGCAAACAAATGGACAGAATCTGTACATATTTCTAGTTTTCTACCTTTGGCTGCTTTTCTTTCTTTTGGGACTGGGTGGAGGCTTTTTATAGAGATATTTTGGTACCAAACCTGTGCAGACACTGAGTGAGTTTGGTCTGTACTGAAGTGCCAATTCAGGGCTACAAGTAACGACTTTGAACATTGTATTTCAGAGCTCCTCACTTTTGGGTTTACATTGACAAACCTGAGCCATGAACCCCCCAATTCTCTCTTAGGGCAGTTCTTTGTTGTCTCTTTTCTACACCAAACTCCCTTTAATTGATGGCAAAGCAGTGTCTGACTCTTTCTATACAGTTTTGTAAAGGGTGATTTAGTTTTTCCACATGAAGGAGATGCTTCATTTCCTCTTCTCTGTCAGCACCTTGTCAGCTTTCCTTTAATCCTGATTTCATTTTCCAATGCCTGATTTATTGCAGAGGAAGAACAGTCCCTATTCCACCATCACTTTGATGGGAGCAGGGAGTGTTTGTGTGAGCCAGAATTGTACCTCTGACACTACATGGGATATTTGTGCACTGACCTGTCCATGAAAACTGAAGAGAATTAGCAAGAAACAAGAATATTTGTCATTTCTTGGTTGTATCAGCAACTTTGCAGGGCCTGTGATGTGCATTTCTGTCCTTGCTCTCATTCTAGGTCATGTCAGCATCCACACAAGTCTGGAAATGTAAGAGATGGTTTCACTTTTAACTTGAAATCCATGTTTTTTCGGGGAAATTGAAAGTTTTAAGTGTGGCAAATAGAGATAGAAACAAGAAATCACCTGTGTTTGAACAGGAGTGCAAAAACTTCCCTCCAAAGGCACTTTGTGACTCTGCCCTCCAAGGAGGAAAATACTCAGGCAGTTTTTTGGGAGACAGAAGTTGGCAGGAAGATGGATCAGATTGGAGCTACTCCAGGGTGAGCACTGGAATTTTGTCACAAAGAACTGCTTTTTATGGATTTACTCTAAATTTTATTGTCTGGTATAAGTAAGAAAGGCCTGATCCGAAGCAGAGGGAGGAGGGACAGATTAAGAAAACACAATTTGAAGCTTCAAGGTCAAATGGTTTTATTTCTATGAGAAAATTGATTTTTTTTTTTGTCTCTTGGAAAAGTTAAGTTTTACATTTCAAAGTTAAATACACTTTAATGGATTCATTTTCATATTTGAAAGTAGCATTTGACTTTTTCCTTCCTGTGTTTTATTTTATTTATCAGTTGACGCAAATGCAGGACACCTTGTCTTGATTCTGTAAGGTTTTACTTGGTAATAAATCTACTGATCCTTTATGGCAGACTGTGAATATTGTAAATATCTGGAGCTGGAAGGGTTGTATGGGATCAAAGAAGACTTTGTACAAACACTAAAGACGTGGGAAAACTCTATAGGTTGTTTGGTTTTGGTTTTTTTTTTCTAGAATTTTATTTAAGTGAAGAAAAATCTCTGAAATCATTTGACCTTTTCAAAATTTGATGTATATCTGACTTCTCCTGTGATTGATTATTTTATGCTTTTATATCTGTATTAAAAATTAGAAGAACCTGACTGGGCAGAAGAGATTTTAGTTGGTCAAAGTTTTGCTGTCATTACTCCTGGTTTTCATTTTGGAAATCCCAGTCTGTCCCCACGTGCAACATTTAACTTCTGTGTGTTGAGATGTTCCCATTTCTCTCCTCAGTGTTCCCTGTTAGTTCCTTTGGGATCAGTATTATATTGTAAATATTCCCCCTTGGTGTATATAAATGATTTTACTAAACTCAACAGTTCCTGGCTGCTTTTGTTTGGTTCCCAAACTGCTGCAGGGCAGGAGGGGAGGAAGGACAGCTCTGGGATTCTCCTGCCACCCTGCTTTTCCCTGGAAGTGTCCAGAAGGTGTGTGAATGTGGCACTTGGGGACATGGGTTAGAGGTGAACATGGTGGTGGTGGGTTAATGGTTGGACTCAATGGTCCTAGAGGGTTTTCCAACTTTTAAGGATTCAATTATTCTCCTGCCATCCCTATTCTCCCTGGAAGTGCCCAGAAGGTGTGTGGATGCAGCACTTGGGGACATGGGTTTGTGGCGAATGTGGGAGTGCTGGAGGAATGTTGGGCTCAATCTTAGAGGGCTTTTCCAACCTTAATGATCCCATTATTCTCCTGCCACCCCAAGCCCTCTCCTGCCACGCTCAGCCCCCATCCCACCTCCCTCACCAATGGGAATAAGCACTTGGCTTTACATTTTGTGAGATGAAAGGATGACTGACAGGCTGGGCTGGATAAATCCCAGGGAATTGGTGTGCTCTGCCTGGCAACATAATCCAAAACTGCCTTTTTTAAGCCCAGCTTTCCATTAGCTGGCAGCAGCACCTGCCCAGTGCTCCCAGTTCACCCCCCAGGTTTGTAGGATTGTTGTAGCCATGACTGGGCAGTGAGGGAGGGAGGGAGGAATCCTGTGTTCAGTGACATTTCCCTGTCAGTGCCATTTCAGTGACATTGGAACTGGGAAGCACTTCCTGTAGGAGGATGATCTTTGCAGGGGCTGTTCTGGAGGTGGGTGAAGTGGGAGCCTTGATGGAACCTGTGGCAGGACTGGGAGACTCTGGTCCATGAGAAGTGGACTGGCCTGTCTTCAGGCTGGCCTTGGGCTTTTCCAAGGAGCTTGGAGTGCTTCCCCACACCCTTCTGGACACAGAGCAGTGACCTCAGTGTGGCACTTGTGCCCTTCCTGCCTCTGGAAATAGTTTTGTTATCTTTAAGTATGGTTTCATTTGTTGACAGGAACCAGAGAGACTCTTGTCCCATTGTCCCTTGTCCCATGAGCATTTCAGAGCAAAAGTGGCTCTGAGAAGAGATGGTGGGGCAGCTGTGAGAGTCCAGGGCCTCTTCTCAGTGAGAGGTAACATCCATCTCTTGGTGCCTTTGAGGACGTAATAGTGGGTTGGATGGGTTGGAGCATCCAGACTGGGAAAGGGAGTGAGAGAACAATTTCCTGGGAGCACTTAAGGCAGCCAAACCAGCTGGGAGTGCTCTCCAGAAGTGGCACAAAACTACTCTGCCCTACTTCCAGGAGGATGTGTGGCCCAAGGGATGCCCTTCCCTGTCCAGCAAGAAAACTCCCCTCAAACAAACACTGAGTGATGTGTTGAGCTCATGAGGGTCTGTCAGCACCCTCTGAGGGCTCTCACTGCCACAGCTGAAGCTCCATGGGCAATCCTGGCATTGTTTCCCAGATAATCTTCCATCACTTCCCACTTCTGAAGCCTTAATCCCCTTTTAAACAAATTGCACTGGCTTGTCACGCTGTCCCCAGATGGGGTCAGCCCAGGGAGCCTCTCAGGGAGGAGATGAGGGTGTTTTATGTGCTGCTTCCTTGTACCCCTGTGGGGAGGGGGTTGTGCCAGGCAGTGGGTCCCATCCTCCCCATGGAAATCCTGGGGCTACACAGCCTATGAGACAGGCATTCCAAGGAAACTTGTCCCCCAATTCAGAAACAGCCCGGATGAAGTGTCCTGTATCATCAGCACTCAGGGAGTAAATTACACAAATCACCTCAGGCAGAAAGATTTTGGAATATAAAACCTCCCTGTATTTACTTGTGACTCCCAAGGGGACATTACATCTGAACTTTGGGACTGGAGAACGGGCTCCTGAGGAGGATTTAAAGGCCCAGGTGGAAGAAGACACCTCAAAAGCTGCTGAGAGTTAAAACTCTCCTGCGTGAGACTTCCCATGGCAGCAGTGGAAAGCTGGACTCAGGCACTAGACTCGGCCTCCAGCTGCAGAGGACTCATTAAAACTGATCTGGATGCAAACATAGGGTTGTAGCTGGACCTGGTTTTTATCCTGTGGAACAGCAAAATTGAATTGTTTTGCTCAACCTCACTGTGTAAGAGAAAATCAGTCACTGACGAAAACACCAGGGGTGTTGGGTGACTGACACACAGTTTACACAGTTGTGTAAGTTAA